GCGGGGTTGTCCCAACGGCTTGCCTCCGCGGCGACAGCCCGCTGCATCCTTGAGGAGTTGTTCCGGCAGGTTGCGCGTTGATGGCTGTCTTGAGCGCGCTCGCGCGCTGCTGCCCCGAGGAGTTGTTCCGACGGTCAGCGCGCTCGCTGAATGCATTGCCGCCGAGCCTTCGCTGCCCCTCCCCCCTTGCCGCCCGCTTGTGGACTTCGCCTTTCAAACGTTTGCCCGAGGGGTTGTCCCGACGGCATATGCGTTTTTGTATATCCTCTCGCTCTCGTCGCCACCCATGCGCTGTTTCGCTGCCCCGCTCCTTCGCGCCTCAGGCCCGATGGGTTGTCCTGACGGCATCTGCAGCAGAGACCAGGAGAGAGCCGGATACAATAGCAAATGCCAGCAAAAACCAACGCGGAGCGGCAAAGAGCATGAAAGAGCAGCTGAGATCAACCGAGAGCAGCAGACAACAGCGTGGAACAGTAGAGAGCAGCGGGAAGCAGGAGGGAGCGGGAGAGACCAGGACAGACCAGTTGAGGCCAGCAGCTGGCCAGCTGACACCGTTGTGGTTGAGGTCTTGTTTGATAGTTTCGATCGTTTCTGTGTTTTCTGGGAGCCTCCGGAGCTCCCAGGGGTATCTTGACGTCAGGCACCGGGTAGCAGCCCAGAGCAGCAGGGAGCGGCATAATGCAGCAACCAACAGCGAAGACCTGCAGGGCGCAGCAGAGAGTAGCAGAGAGCAGCAGACAACAACAGGCAACAACAGAGAACAGCGGAGACTGGGGGTGTGATGGGCTTGTGATGGGCTCAAATGGGTTTGTTTCCGTCGCCGTTGTGATGGGCTCAAATGGGAAGATTCGTGTGGGTCTCGTTGCCAGAGCAGCAAGCAGTCGCGGTGCGCCTGCGTCTCGCCCGCCATGCCTTTCGAGATGGGTGACACCACCGTGCTCGTTCTGTTCGTCGCTGTGCATAAGGATGACCAGCCCGCCGTTGAGCACGGGGCGCAGATTCCACGGCGTTTGATGGGGTCCACTCCGTGCGTTGGTTTCCGCACGTCGCCGACGCAGGCCATGGAGCGCGCTCGCATAGTGCAGCAGAGGAGTGGCGCTTTTGTCTCAAAGGTGAAGCACGTGCTGCTACAGGTGGAGTTCAGCGCCCGCGCTCTCGCGGACCTCACCGTGACGCCCGCCGCCAGGGAGTACGCCTTCGCGCCAATGCTGCACAAGGTGGTGCATCGGTCCGATGGAGAGACTGACTGGGGAGTCTGGCATTACTGCGGCGATTTCCCACTGGGGCTCTCTGGGATTCGCCATTGCTGGCGGGAGATTGAGTGATCTGGAAACGCTTGTTCGCAGGTCGCTACTCGGCCGAGGGGTTGTCCCGACGCTTTTTTTCTCCACCTGCACAGCGCGCTGTCTTGCTTCCGGCGGCATAGACCCCTTTGCTACGTCTCTCGCCTGAGGGGTTGTCCCGACGGCAGTATTCACGGTCTGAGTGTCTCGCCAATGCATCCAGTGTTTGAGTCGGCAAAGCAAATGGGGCTCCTGCGCGCCCTCCCACCCGCCACTGTCATATCCGTTGCCTGTCCCGTTTAATCGAGGTCTCCGCTCCCTCGTGGTTGTCGATTCCGCCGAGTGACATCTGACACGAGGGTTTCCGCCGGACCCGCTCACCACCATGTTATTATGGTTTTCTGATTCGGATACTAACGTCTTTTCGGGGGAGCCGTCTTCGTTGTGCTCTGGTGCATTCGTGCCGTCTCGAGTATGCACGCACGCGCAGCCGCGCGCCTCACGTCTCGATATTATTCGACTGATCGAGAAGGATGGGACAGGAAAGTGAGAGCTGGGGGCCCCTGTCAGCCTCGACCCCGTGCCAGAGCTTCCGCAGCGCATTTGGCTCAAGCATCTTGTGGCCAGCGCCCCCGTTCCATCTCAGTCCGGCGTTGCCGCTGACCATGGCGGACAGCAAGCTCGCTCTGTCTCCGCGAGAGTTCTCCGGCGATCCCGCCACGTGCGTCTTCGGGCGCGTCGTCATCAAGCGAGGCCCGGTGGAAGTGGGCGACCAAGCGGATGGGGAGGGCAAGGGCAAGGCCAAGGGCAAACGCGCTGGAAAGGACAGAGAGCCGGGGAGGAAGATCGAAGTGCACATGCTCGGCGGTGACACTGTGGGCGACGTCCTGTTCCTTGACGGATGGGCAGACGCCGCCGCCCAAGTTCATGCCGCCATGGAGCTGGGCAGGGTCTACCGCGTGTCCGGCGGGGCCGTCGTGAACCAGACCCCGAAGTACTCCACTTCTCGGCTGTCGTACTTCTTGCGGGTAAAGCCGCCCTTGGGAGTCAACGCGGTCATCCAGGAGTGCACCGAAAGCCCGTGGGTGGGCGTTCCCCTGCATCACCCGTTCGCGGAGATTGCCAGCTTGGGCAGAGTGACCGATGCAACGCAGGTGTGCGCGGTCGGCGTCGTGTCTCACCAGCCGGGCGTCGTGGAGCGCGACACCCAGTACGGCCGAGCAGGCGTCTGCAACGCGGTGATCAAGCAGGGGCGCCACGACATCCGCTGCGCATTCTGGCGAGACCATGCCGCGACTCTGGCCGCCTTCCCCGTCGGCTCCGTGATCGCGCTGATGCAAGTGAATGTGAAGCAGCGCAACGGGTCCTGGGAGATCTTCGCCACGGAGGCCACGGAGGTCACGACTTGTCCTGCAGCTCAAGCGGAGACTGTTCGCGCCGCGACTGACATCTCCGAGGGTGCCGACGCGGCCACGTCCCTCACCAAGCAGCACCATGCCGTGGACTACGACACGGTGCCCGCCATGGCGAGCACGGTGAGTGGCCTCATGTCGGTGCCCGTGCCTTTCCAGACGCGCGACCTGCCTGGGGTCTTCGAGCTCCACTGCGTCGCCGTCGCGGGCGTGGCAGGTGCTTCCGCCGACAGCGACTGGCAGATCAAGAGCTGCGCAGAGTGCAAGAAGAAGATTCCCGACCACCAGGACACGTGTGGCAGCCACCCCGAAGCGGGAACTGAGATGCGGTGGCTCCTGAAGCTGGGCATCGCGGACCACACCGGCGGAGGCTCCGCCGTCCTGTACCACGACGCAGCGTCCACCCTCGACGTGCTCGGCGATTCGGGCACGCCCCTGGACGCCCAGGCTCGCCGCGTGCGCGCTGCGGCATTTCGGGCGACGCCGTGGACGCTGCGGTGCGTGTTCAAGACAAACGATGTCACCAATGTCAACTACCTCGAGGTGAAGCGGATTGTCCCGACGCTGACGCCCGACGGCGTCGCGTCGACGTGGTCGGAGGTGACGGCGCCGCCGGCGGTGAAGACGGGCGGCGCCTGCCCGTTCGCGGCGTGCTCGGACGTCAGCTCGGACGACTCGCTCGGCTTGCTGCTCGTCCGTGACCTGGAGGTCCAGGCGGTCCGCGTGTTGCTGGTGATGCAGAGGCCCACGGAAGCGGAGACGGTGGCCACACCCGACGCAGAGAATCGCGGCCTGCGCGTGCAGCGCCTCGCGCGCTGCGGGTTCCAGTCTGAAAAGGAAGACGCGTATTGCGTTAAGACGGCCGGCGTCGCCGGCGACGTGCAGTGGCTCCTGACGGCCGGGCACGGCGACGCGCACCTCGTGACTGCCATGCTGCGGACAGATAAGGGCTCCGGCCGCGGGACGTTTGATGTGCTGTCGCACAAGGCCGTGGTCCCCGAGCTCTTGCCCAGCATGGTCAAGCTCATGGCCAGCGCGCAGGGGTCCGGCGGCCCGGCGCTCATCGCGCACGCGCCCGACGCCACGCCGCTCAAGCGCATGCGGGACCTCGCCTTCTCGCCCCCCGACGCTGCGTCAACGCCATCATCCCTGGCGACGCGTCGCCGACTGGAGTGAGAGCTCGCGCGCGAGCCGCAGCCGTGCCTGCGGGGATGTCCCAACGGCGCGCTCTGGCACTGGCGCGAGCCCGCGCTGACTCGGCTGACGCTGCGCCGTCTTGCGAGGGCGCCCGCGACGCAGTGCCCATCGCCGCTTGTCTCGCCTGAGGGGTTGTCCCGACGGTATTGAGTATTGATTTTACACTTTGTCTCTCCCTTCTGTCGCCGCCCCAGCCGCGCCCGCGGGGTTGCCCCAACGGCGCGCGCTGGCACTGGCGCGAGTTCGCGCTGACTCGGCTGACCCTGCGCCGTCTCGCGAGGGCGCCCGTGACACAGCGCCCATCGCCGTTGGTCTCGCCTGAGGGGTTGTCCCGACGGTATTGATTTTGCACTTTGTCTCTCCCTTCTGTCGCCGCCCTCGCGCTTTCCCCCGCAGGCCCGACGGGTTGTCCTGACGGCCTCCTGCGCGCGGCGCCCGTCTGGGCGGGGGCAGACGGCGGAGCTACCGACCACTTCAAAAATGACAGGGCCTGCGCGCCAGCATTCTCCCTTCCGCTTTCGCCTCCGTCGTCGATCTCCATCCCGGATTGCCTGCGATGCCCGGGCCGTCGAAAATATCGTGCCCATCCGCTGCCTCTCACTGCCGGCAGGGAGCAGCACAGCTGACAGTAGCAGCCAAAATCTGAGACCACCCGTGGCCAGCAGAGAGCACAACAGAGCACCGGAGAGCAGCAGACAAGAACTGAGACCAGCATAGCATCAGCAGCAGAGACTCACATGCAGCAGCAGAGAGCAGCAGAGACCAAGAGAGAGCAGGATGCATTAGCAGAGACCAGCAGAAACCACCACGGAGCGGCAAAAGGCATGAAAGTGCAGTTGAGAGCAGCGGTAAGCAGGATGGAGCGGGAGAGACCAGCTGAGACCACCATGCCCCGAGGTGACCAGCTGAGACCAGCTGACACCGTAGCGATTGAGGCTCAGTCCGCATTGGCTTTGCTTCCTGTTGCCAACGCTGCGTGCTTCACTCGCCGTTGCAAACCGCATATCCCGACATTTCAACATGCCGCCCAAGAAGACGGAGGCGGCCTTGCTCGCAGACGTCGCAGAGCATCGTCGGTGGGCGACTGCCAATTTGACGGCCCTGAGAGCACGGGGCGGCATCGGCTTGAAGGCGAAGCTTCAGCAGAGGGCGGGGCTCGAGGAACAGCGGATTTACAAGTGGTACGTGAAGCACGCGGGCGTCGCATCTGATCATCTGACAGTTGCCGCTGCCCTGTCGGAGCTGGACGCCCTGGTCAATGACTCCCTCGGCCCGGCAGCGTCGGCGTGCCCCGACGACGCCCCGCCGGCAAAGCAGAGGCGCCTGACCGAGAGGGGTGGCGAGGCTGCTGCCTGCGCGGCGCCGTTGCAGGGCGAGTCACGGCCTGGCCAGTCGACGCCGGCAGCTCGAGGGGTTGTCCCGACGGCTTGCTCGGCTGGACAAGGCCCGGCGGCTGCAGCAGCGGCCAAGGCGTCTCCCGCTTCAACGCCGCCCATCGGCATCGAAGAGACCCCGGTGAAGAGGCCTCGCCTGTTCGCCGACGGGCTCGGTGCGACGCCCGCGCAGACCACCGGCGGCCTGACGCCTGCCACCGCGGAGGCCTTGGCAAGGTCGTGCCGCAAGAGCCCGTGGGAGTCCCCGTTGGTCGACGATTCCGTGAGGCTTGCTCGCCCAGGGAATCCCGCGAGAGGTGCCTCGCGGCCCGTCGAGCGGCCGCGCTTGCGCCCGCGGGAAGAGGAGCGCCTCCTGGCGGCAGTGCCGCGGAAAGCTGTGAAAGATCTGTACGTGCACGTCCGCGATGAGGCTCTGCGCCTAGGCAACGTAGAGTACCTCCCACAATGGCGCGAGAACAAGCCAAAGTATCGACAGCTGAACTACGTGTGGAATTTGCACCAGCACGGCGAGCTCCAGGCGGCTGAGTACGCTCTGTTGGCGCACCAGCCTCACATTATTGGCCCAGAGCTCTTCGGCGCAGTGGAGAAGGCGGAGTGCCCCGCCGCAGTGATCCCCTCGAGCAGCAGCGCCTGGCGGTGGACTTTCAAGCCGGCAGGAGTTGACGTGGAAGGACCGCAGGTGGAATCTCGGGCCGACGCGGCGCGAGCCCTGGCCGGGCTGCAGGCGCGGCTGTACCCCGAGTGGCATCACCCAGGCACTCGCGAGCAACACCTCCGCGCCCTGCTGCGCGACGACGACCGGCAGCAGCAGATGCGCGGCCTGCTCGCTCAGCCTGGCATGCGGTTCGCCAGAGCGGCCGTGCTGGGAGCAGCCGCGTCAGCGCCCCGAGACGGCCGCGCGGGCGCCGCTGGCTTCCCCAACCTGACAAACACGTGCTACATCAATGCCGTGGTGCAGTGCTTGTACCACACGCACCCCTTCCGCGCAGACATCGAGGGCATGCAGCCGGGCGCCAGCAACATGGGGGACCGCCTGCGGGACTTGTTCTGTGCGCGCAGCTCCCCTGCTTCCACGGCCGGCGACATTCGCCCGCCGTTGGTGGCCCTTGTCCGCCAGATCTTGCAGCAGCCGCCAGGCTTTGAGTCCGGTCGCCAACAGGACGCGGCGGAGTGCCTGATGCGCGTCCTCGAGCACGCGGACCTCGGAGGAGTGCGGCGCCGCGTCTGCGGGGACGGCGCAGCCGCGAGCGTCGAGGGCATGGTGCACTGCTGCGCGGCCGAGGAGGCCCAGGTGGGTCGCGATGCGCCGCCTGTGCCCATGGCCGCCATGATCCCTGCGTCCCTCACGGGCGAGCAGGCCGTCCGTGAGGCTTCGGAGGCAGTGGTCCTCCGCGTGGAGAGCATGTACGAACAGGATGGCAGACAGTTCGCGGTGGACGCGCGGGCGGACTGGCGGGGCGCTGTCTTCCCCGTCAGCATTCTCAACGGAGACGCCGTTTCTTACGAGGTGGCGGCCTTCGCGCAGCACCGCGCCGCGCGCGGCGTACCACCTCTGCAGCGGATGCGCGGCGGCCACTACGTCGCCTACGTCAACAAGGGCGGGCGCTGGTTCGAGCTCGACGATGCCGTCGTGACGGAGCTGCCTGAGCCGCCTGACGCGTATCCGTACTTGGTCTTCCTGGCCCGCGCGAGGCCCAGACGGTCGATTCCGATGGGCGGGAAGCGGCGCGACCCTCGTGGGCCTGACGACGCTCTGGAGGCTGCTGCCAGGCTGTCGCGAGTGATGCCTGCGGCGTCGGGAGGGGCCGCTGCTGGCTTAGCATCCGGATCGGGCAGCGGCAGCCGCGGCTTGCCACAGGCTGCAGGCTCAGCGGCTGGTCAAGGCCGGACAGGCAGGGACTGGAGTGGCAGAGACCAGTCTGGTAGAGACGAGACTGGAAAGGACCAGACTGGTAGGAACCGCAGCGGTCAGCCAAGGGGCATTGCTGGAGTGCACCCAGCTGCCAGGGCCGTCTGGAACGCTTCAGCTGCCGCGGACAACAGAGACCACACCCGGGCAGACCCCGAGAACAGCGCGGACAACCCTTTCAAGCGGTACGTGGATAACTGGGATCTGCGACGCACCAGCGCAGATGTGAAATGCCGCACCTGGTCGCAGAGGGCCGAGCCGTCGGGCCCCCAGCCGTGCCGGCTCTGCCAGGGCCGAGACTTCGCGTTCCGCGAAGATTGGAAGAAGCACGTGGACGACGAGCACGGTGGCGTCCAGCGCTACCGCAACGCTCTCTTCTCGTCGCTGTCGCTGAAGCCCTATGTTGTCAAGGGAGAGGAGTGGCGCGCGATCGTGGCCAATTATGCGGAGTTCTACGCCAGGGCCGCCGTGGACTGGGAGAAGCCGACTGAGCGCATGCGTGAGCTCGCTCAGACTCCCGAGGGGTTGTCTGCAGATGAGCGCTGGGCGCCCCGGACCCGCTGTGCGTGCGTCTTCTGCGCCAGGCTGCACTGGTCCGAGGACCTCTCCTTGGAGTTCCTAGCAGGCAAGGACTGCTTCATGAAGAACCCCGAGGCCGTGGCCAAGCTGTTGTCTTGGGAGGTTTACCACAAGCACTGGCCCGACATCCCCGAGGCCGAGCTCCGCGCCTCCGCCGTGCGTCTGCGCATTGGGAACACGGACACATTCCAACTTGTCCTCATGCACAAGCGGCGGGTGACGGATGCGCAGGCGTTGGGCGACGAGCGGGCCCCGGTGTGCGAGGATTGCCTGTGCGCGTTCTCTCCCCGCCACCCGCGCATGTGCAAGTTCACCTTCGCTAACCACTTGTGGCTCGGCAGGAATGACCCGCTCTTCCGCAATGCCAACTTGTCGCACCAGATGCTCCTCGCACTCGCCCGCGCCGTGACGACCAAGGTGGTGCTGCGCCCCGAGAGCTACGACAAGCAGCGCAGCGGCGACGGGCCCACGTGGGACTTCCTCTTCCACCAGACGGGCATGGTGGGCTCCGCAATCCTCTTCGGGAACGCGTCGTGCAAGGAGGCCATGGAGCGTTTCCCTCCGGCTTCCATCAAGGACGCCTTCGCGGTGACTTTCCTGGCAGCCAAGCAGGACGCGGCGAAAGAGCAGCCGCCAGACGGCTCGGAGAATGCAGCGGGACAGTGGCGCCGCGAGGGTCTGGCTGGCGACGCCGCCAGGCAGCAGGACGCCGCCCGGCGCGCCGTCCGGGGCATCGCGCGCCTCAAGGTGAACCGCGCAGAGTTTGACTCGCAGGCGCAAGCGCTGCAGTCCACGAACGTCGTCTACGAAGACAAGGATTACGACGAGGCGCTGGTTGCCCAGTGGTGCCCCAACCCGCTGATTCCTGAGGTGCCCCCGGTGGTGTTGGACAGCGTCGTGGCCGTGCCGTTGGAGGATTCGCCCGGCGCCGTCGTGGCCGCGGGACCAGCCGACGCCACGGCGGCCGGGGCGCAGGATATGGAAGACGCAGACGTTCAGGCGTGCAAGGAATCCCGGTACGTGAGCGCGTTCAGCGAGGAGGACATCCCGGGCGCGGCCGCCTCGGCGGGGGCCTTGGAGGTGACGGCGCTGATCAAGCAGCTGGAGGAGCTGGACGCGACAGCGCAGCGCTCCGTGGCCAAGGAGACAGAGCACGCCATCGAGTCAGGCAGCGCGCTGCTGGACGAGGCGGGCAGGGAGCGAGTCTTGCAGCTCTGCGAGTCCGTTCGAAACCGCGCTGCTCGGTTGTCGCGCCCGGAGCGGGAGCTGCGGCTGCAGGAGGACCTCGCGCGCGCCGCGCTGGGCGAACCGGTCAGGCCTCGACAGGCGGGGGGGGCCGAGGCGACCATGGCGAACCTCGAGGTGACGCGCGGCACGGCGCCCCTGTCGCTGTTCGATTGGAAGGTGTGGACGCAGGCGCGCCCGAGCCTGTGGCGCTACGGCGACGCCGGTCACCTGGACCCGAAACGAACGGGGACCTACCCGCAGTTGCTCGCCCACGAGTGGATCACGTGCCTGTGCATGCGGGAGGAGATGGAGTACACTCTGGACACCGACGAGGAGAAGCCGTACCGCGTGCGGGAGAACGACGACGATCCAGAGGTCAACCGGTTCGCGGCGGACTGGGTGTCGTTGCACATGTTCGCCACGTTGCACTTCTTGACGGAGCGCCACCAGTCCGCCTTCGCCTTCCTGAAGAACGGAGGCATGAAGTGGGCCGAGAAAGTGCAGCACCTCACGCCGGATGCCCTGGCGGCGGCCGCCCGCGCTCACGCGGGTGGCGGCGGCGTGGCGGCTTTGGCAAGCAACGCCAACGTGCCCAACGTGGTTCGGGACGCCCTGAACATCATGCAGATGGCCGTCGCGGACGTTGTCGGCACCGACGAACATCGGCGCCTCTGCCGCCACGAGGGGGTTGCCTACATGGCGCTCTTCGGGTGCCCCTTGATCTTCGCCACCCCGAACGTAGCGGACACGAAGCAGCCACTGTTCGTCAGGGTGGAGGGCCAGGAGATCCCGCTCGACGACTGGAGCATTCCAGGCCTGCGCAGCGACGTCATCCCAAAGTACCGAGACATGATGCGGCGCGTCGCCCAGGACCCGGTCGGCCAGACCGTGTGCTTCGAGCTCATCATGCGCCTCTTCTTCATCCACGTCCTCGGCGTCCGCCCCGAGTGCGTGGGCGGCCGCCGGCGCGGCGTTCCTCCCAGGAAACGCTGCTCCTGGGACTGGTGCACCGACGGCGTGGCGGCGTCCTCGACCGCCCCGGGGATCTTTGGGCCCGTGCAAGTTTTCCGCGGAGAGATCGAGGCGCAAGGTCGGGGATCGCTCCATCCGCACATCCTGGTGTGGTTGTGCGCCCTCTCGACGCGGCAGCTCGTGCACGTGCTCCGACGCCATCCTGCTGTTTTCCGAGAGCGCCTGGGCAAGTGGATGAGGGCGTGCGTCATGGCCGTGGAGAGCACCTGCCAGAGTTCCGTAGAGGTGTTGCCGCGGCGTTTCGGGCACGTCGACCAGCGCGTGGACCCGCTGCCATTCTCTGTCATCGAACGAGACCAGTCGCGCTTCGACGGGGGCAGCGAGCTGGACGCGCTCCGCGAAGAGAAGCAGGCGGGCGCGGAGCTGACCGAGGACCAGGAGACCTTCCTGGAGACCGAGGACCGGGACTCCTGGCTCCGGCCCGATCTGCCGTTGCGGGACGCCACAGGCCGCGAGTTGGCGCCGGGGGAGAAGGCACCGCCGCGGCCGTCCTCATACGGCATGCCCATCGATGCTTTCGCCGTGGGGAAATGCCCCGCGTACCGGCGGCGCGGCCTCGTGCAGCAAGACACCGGCGCGGGCGAGCCGGCGGCCCGCGGGGTTGTCCCAACGGTCTGCTCGGACGCGCCCGCGGCTCAGTCGGGGCAGCAAGGACTCGGCCAGACGACACTCGCCGCGGACGAGGAGGCGCCGCCCCCGCCGCCGCCCCCGCCAGGAACGGAAGAGAATCGTGAGGTCTGGGAGCGCCTCTTCTCGAGGGACGTCCGGGAGCTCGCCAAGGAGACGATGACGCACGTGTGCGGAGAGAGCTGCTACAAGTACTCGGGCAACAAGACCACGAAGATCTGCCGCCACGGCTTCTACTACATCGTCACGCTTGCGGATTGGCGCAGGCGCAGGCGAGGGAAGCCTCTGCGGAACGCCATGTTCGTGGTGCGATCCTCGACGCACGGCATGCAGGGTCGTCTGTTGCACTTCCAGCTCCACCCGTCTGAGTGCATTACCAACTACGCCGGCGCCGCGGCTGGGCGCTTCAACCTGGATGCGCAGGACCTCCGACGAGTCAGCGACCCCAAAGCGTGGTTGGACGAGGGCGAGGTGCTCCCGCACGTCGGCTCGCAACCCAAGCTGGGGTACATGGGCACGTACGAGCTGGGCGATGCCGACGCTTACGTCAACCGCCCGGAGGTTCCGGAGAAGCCGCTCGCGTGGACGGACGACTGCTCGCCGGAGGAGTGGCGCGACATTATGCTGCAGTGCCAGACGGAGGACGCGGAGGGCGAGGACGCGGATGACGTGGACGCCGCGGACACCTTCGCGGACCAGCTGGAACTGGATGCCCAGGCAGCGTTCAGCGACGGCCTGAACACGGGCTTCTACATCAACTCCTACACGACGAAGCAGTGCCCCAGCATGGAGGGCGTCCTCGTGGAGATGCGGCGCGGCCTGGAGCGGCTGCAGGCGCAGCGACAGGCGCAGCAGGACAAGATGAAGCTGGAGCTGCAGCAGCGAGGAGACGACCCCGAGAAGACTCTGTCCGCCGCCGACCGGAGAGCGCTCGGGGGTAAGTCCAAGTTCGGGGAGACGCTGGATCTGGTGAAGAATCTGTCCGCATCGTACCGCCGATGCTACTGGAAGAGCGGGCCAGAGATGCTGTTCCCGATCTTCTACGGCCACCTCACCTACGCGTCCCACCGCTGCTGGACGATCTTCATCAAGAAGGGCGTCTTCCTGGCGGCGGAGGCGTGGCGACGCGAGTACGGGCGCTCTCTCCGGCACAAGGCCAAGCAGGACGGGGGCCGCGCCCCGGTGCAGTACCTCGGGCGCGGCGTCGACCCGTGCACTCTCGAGGGGTGGCGCGAGGAAAAGGACGACGACGGGCAGGCGGTGTACGTGAGCCCGGAAGGCCAGCGCTTCCCGGATATCCTGACGGCCTACGAGCACGACGTCGCGACCAAGGCGGCGCGCGACGCGCCCGATCATCGCCAGGTGGTGTCGTTCCTGGCGAAGTTCATGCAGGACATGGGCTGCGAGAGCGAGGAGGCCCCGAAGACGGGGGACGGCTTCCGCATCGTGAGGACCACGAGCACTCTGGACGACTGGCTGCACCGCGGCGACGACCCGGTCCTCAAGCACATGAGTTTGCAGGTGTACGCCATGTGGGTCTACCGCTGCGAGAAGCCCGACGGCCTGTGGCGAGACAAGACCCGCGCGCAGCACCTGGACTTCGACTTCGCGCCGCACTACGCGCTGTGCGCGACCCACAAGCAGCGCCTGGCCCCCGAGCTCCGCGTGCCCCTCTTCGAGGGCTTCACCATGCCGACGATGAACAAAGACTGCGAGACAGCATGCTTGTACAAGCAGTTGCTCCTGAGGCCGTTGGAGGTGGAGAACTCGGAGACGCCGGAGGACGAGCGCATGCTGCGGGCGTTCGCGCCCCTGATGGAGGCCCCCGGCGCGCCCCGTGACATGAATGTGCGCGGGTCAACCTGTTTCACGCGATCTTGGGCGCACTACGAGGCTCGGGCGGACGCGGAGGCCCGCGTCGCCGCGGCCCGCTTCCTTGCGCGGCACGAGTGGCCCTCGATCTGGGAGACACAGGAGGTGCAGGAGGAATTCTTCGCGCTGCACCAGGCGCGAGCGGAGGGTAAGGGCGCGGAGGGCGACTCGCTGGACCCCGCCCACTGCCCCGACAGAGAGAAACCCAGGGCGACGGTGCACCAGTACGTCTCCATGATAGCCATGCAGGTGGCGCCCAACCTCGAGGGAATCGCCCTGGCGCGCGAGGAGAAGAAACCCCGGCAGTACCAGAGCGACGCAGCAGTGCAGAGCGCGTACCTCAAGGCGACCACCGGTGGAGGTGCCGGTCAGGACGAGGGCGCCGAGGCGGGCGAGGGCGTGGAGCACCCGGGCGCGCCTCCCAAGCGTGTCGGAGCACACTTCCAGCCGGTCCCGACGTGGGGCATCGACGGGGAGCAGGACATGGCGGACGTGCTGAACTTCGCGCACCGTAAGCGCCTCACGAGGTTGGCCAAGGAGCTCCTCGCGCTCCCGTGCATGTCCGAGGCGGCCCGCGAGGGCGCGGGTGCGCCCGAGCCGACGGAGGCCGCGACTGCTCCCGCGCCCGCGGCCGGGTACCGACCGCTGGTGACCGCGGCGCGCGAGGAGAGACACGCCTGGGGAAACCTGCACGACGAACGCCTCCAGGACAATCGCGACGAGGAAGATGCAGGCGCTCCGGACGGCGAGGACGCGGGCGCAGGCGGCCTGGGCGGCGACCCCGCTGCGGCCAGTTTTGCCAGCAGCGTGTACTCAACGCCCAGCGCGTACATCGCCGCCCTGGTCGCTGGGTTGCCGGAGAACGAGAGACTCACGCGGGACCAGACGCTCTTCGTCGCCAAGTTCGCCAAGGCCTGCGACGACGCCTGGGAGGACGACGTGCAGAAGAAGCCCTGGAGCGAGAGAAAAGTGACGCACTTGCTCCTGTTGGGCCAGGGCGGCTCGGGGAAGACGCACGTGGTGCAGAAGATCGTCTTCCCAGTGGTGGAGTATTTGTGGCCCTCGTCGGCGCAGGACAAGGGCGCCATGATGGTCGTGGCCTTCTCGAACGCGCAGGCGAAGAACATCTCCACGGAGACGGTGAAGGCCAGAACGCTGCACAACGCCTGTGCCCTGCGAGTCCAGAAGTACATCAACGCGAAGATGAGACCGGGGAGCATGCAGAAGAGATTGCAGTGGTTGTGGGAGCACGTCCGCGTCCTGGTCATCGAGGAGGTGAGCATGGTGGCAGCTGCTCTGTACAACGCTCTGGACCTCCGCGCCTGCCACGGGCGCAGTGACACGCACGACGTGCAGGAGTCCACCTACAAGAGGCCGCACCACCACTTCGGCCGCGTCCCCATCGTGTTGCACCTCGGGGATTTCCTGCAGCTGAAGCCCACCGGCAGCATCGGGCTCCTGACGGACGTGAACGAGCTCCTGGACGACGGGTCGTACAAGTACGCGGAGCCGCCGACGGTGGAGATCCAGCACGCCATCAGGGTATTCTCTCAGATCCCCTGCGTCTTCGAGCTGAAGGGCACGAAGCGCTTCGAGCCGGGGGACCCTCTGATCGCGTTCTTGGGCTGCATGCGCGAGGGCAAGCGCTTCCCACCAGAGGTCTGGTCTGCCTGGGAGAAGACGTTGGCCTCTGACAACCACGGCGTCCTGGACCCTCGGCACCAGCACGAGAACTTTCGGCTCGGCTACGGCATGGGCATCTATTGGGAGACGCTGGCGAGGTGGATCAACACGCGCGCTCGTCGCGACGCGCGGCGCCTCGGCGTCCCCCTCGTTTTCCTGCAGGCCGTAGACGAGTGCGGCACGATTCAAGGCGAACCAGACGCAGGCCGGCGCCTCCTGAACGTCCCGAACATGCACAAGACGGGGGACATCCACGGCGTCTTACCGGCACACGTCGGCATGGAGGTCCGGTTCACGGCCGTGCAGGAGGAGCTGAAGAAGAAGTTGGGGCTCGTGCAGGAGCAACGGGCCACCATCGTGTCCTTCGAGTTTCACGCAGACGACGAGCGGGACTACGAGGAGTGCGCGCCGGGCCAGCTCTTCCGCCCCCGCTTCCTACCGCAGGGAATCTGGCTGCATGTGCACGGCTTCCAGGAGTCCCCGATCTACAAGGAGGTCGCCGAGGTGCTGCTGCAGGGCACCGAGGGCGCTGACGACGACGGCGAGGCCCAGGCGCGGGCGAGGAGCTTGCTCATGTTCAGGCCCAGCGAGCAGGAGTTCACGTGGCAGAGCTCGGGGGCGCACACTGTGCGCCGCTCGGGATTCACGCTGACGCACGCGTCCTACCTGACCTCCACGCTGTCGCAGGGCCAGACGCTGCGCAAGGGCGTCACCATCGACTGCGCCAGGGATGAGGACGCTGGCCGCACGGGCATGTCGGACGATATGTGGTGGCTGCACCTCTACGTCATGTTCTCCCGCGCCACGTGCATGCGGAACATGCTGATCCTGCGGCCGCCCGCGCGAGAGTTCCTGGAGCGCGGGCCGCCGGCGTCGCTGCGGAAGGCGCTCCAGGAGTTCGACGAGAGAGCGGTGGGCTCCAGGGCTGAAGCGGAGCAGCTCGCGGCAGAGCTGGGCTTCGTACTGCCGCCCGCCTGAGCGCCGCGGCGCGCGCGAGGAGGCCCGCGGGGTTGTCCCAACGGCCTGGCCCGCGGGGTTGTCCCGACGGCCTGCCCTCGCGCTCCGGCGGCCCGCGGGAGTGCCCCGCAGGCATGGCTGGCCCGAAGGGTTGACCCGACGGCTTCGCGATCTGGCCGTCGGCAAACGCGCGCGTTCTGACCGAGGCGGCGACGGCGCCGAGGAAAATCGACTTGCTTCCCCCGACCGGGGGGAAAGGGACGTGCACGTGGAAAAGAGGCAGGAGGAGGATGAGGACGGAAGGGGTATGGGGAGGGCGATGATGAGGAGGAGGTGGAGAAGGAGGAGGAGGAGGAGGAAAAGGAGGGGGGGGAAATAGAAGAAGAGGAAAAGATGGCAGAGGAGAGGGCGATACGAGGGTGTTTGCCATGGCCGGGAGGAAAGGGATAAGGGAAAGCTAAACAGATTATCATGTGGGGTCCTTCCGTCGGAGTAATATGTTCTTGTTTTTCTCCTTGGGAGGCGGCGTTCCAATCTCCGCTGGTTGCTGGCCTCGAATCCTGCGGCCCGATGGACGCCGCGGTCTGCCTGGCGGTTGGTCGGAGCACGAAGAGCGGCACGAGCCGTAGGCTGTCGGAGGTCCGCGCAGAGCTTCTGCGGGCCAGCGCTTGGCCCTCCAGTGGCGTCGCCTCCTGCTCGGAGGATCGCCCGTCGAGACAAGAGAGGCCTTCCCGTGGCGCTCTCCGTCCACGGTGGGCCTCCTATGAGGCGTCTCGTCGCCACGGCTGGATCCGTCTCGGGAAGCGGGTCAGGATGGACAGGGGCTGGGTTTTTCGAACAATATTTTACAGAGCACGCGTGGCGCTGAGTGAGGCTTTCATTTTCCGATTCCGCTTCCTGTGGCCTTCGTAGAGGGCCTGCGTGCTACAGGCGCACCTGCCTCCCTTGCAGGGGCGCCGGGCCTCCCGGCGATGGCGGAGTTCGTTCGTTCGTTCGTTCGTAGGCCCAGCGGGGGAGCCGTCGTGCCCTCCTGCGACTTGCGCCAGCGCCCGCCCGAGAAGGCCGGGACCTCCGACAGTTTGTGCTTTGGCCGGTTTTTGTTCTTCCAATGTGGAGGTCGCGGCGGGTGCCCAGCCGCGCAAGGCCAGCAGTCCGCTCGAGTGCGGGCTCGTGAGCTGTGTCGGCTGCCCCGTCCCGAATGAGGCCCTGAGCACACTGTACTTTGGGCTAGAGGAGTGCGAGTTGTTCAGCTGTGATGATTACCTCATCCCACAGGGAACCCTGAGCACTCTGTACCTTGGGCTGGAACCCTTCATCCACGGCCACTATCTGTCCGGTTATCACGGAAAAGACGGAAACACTGAGACGGAGTGGTGCAGTGATGTGGATCGGAGCGACGATGCTTGGACGACCCCCGAGCGTAGCGACGAGTACGAGTGACAAGTGATCTTAGTAGTCCGCGAAGCATGCAGCCGTCAAGCGTAATTATGCAGCAATTTCATCGCCTCATCGGCAAAGCGAACCCGCGCCGCTTGGGAATATTCGCTCGCTGGCGCTTACTTTTAGCAACGATCGGACGGGGCGTTTCTATCTTTACATCCTCAGGTGTCGCCTGGTGACTGAGCGCGGTACAGATGCATGCGGACGGTAGTGAGAAACGGAGCGCGCGCACGGCAGTTTGGGATTAAGCCGCGTCTGTGAATTCTTTGGCTGATCTTGCTTGGGTTTCTTTGGCCCTTGCAGCTCACCCTGGTGTGCCTCTCTCTTTCTCTTTCTCTCTGCTGTGTGTATGTCTATCTAATGGCCTTGACCCCATCCCGCCACCGTGCCTGGGTTGTGGGTATGAAGCGTCTCGTGGGAGGCCTCTCAGGGGGCCTCGTGGAGGCAGTTTGGACTCCTCTTGGGGGCCGTTTTGGGGCCTCTTTTGGGCCTCTTGGGGCCTTCTGGGGGCCTCTTGGGGCGGAAGGCTCGGATTTTCGGTTCGTGTTCCCTCTCAGGGGCTCCTTTTTTGGGGCCGTCTTGGGGCCCTCTTGGGCTGTTCTGGGCGCCTCTTGGGCCGTCTTGGGGCCCTCTTGGGCAGTTTTTGGGCCCTCTTGGAGGCCTCTTGGGTCATCTCGGGGCAGTCTTGGGGGCCTCCAAGGCCGTCTGGGAGCGTCGCGAAGCCGAAGAGGTGGGAACGTCGGGAACTCCTGGGGTCTTGGGAGGCCTCTTGGAGGCCTCTTTGGGCGTCTTGGAGGCCTCTTGGGCCGTCTGGGGGCCATCTGGAGCGTCTTGGAGCGATCGCTCGGCGATTCGGGGCCATCTTGGACCGTCTTGGGGTTGTCTTGGGGACTTCTTGACTCTAAAGTGAGCTAGCTGGGCGTTGCATGTGAGTGGGAACGAGCGTGCATCCGCGGCTGCTTGGATCAAAGCGGCCGGCCGCCCAGATTTGCCATCGATACCAAAACTGTTTGAGATGGCTCGCTTCCTGCTACTGGGACTATCGTTACTACGGTGCAACAGAGCTGGAGGTCGGCTTCGCCTGAGGCGAAGCTGCTGGTTGGGCCTTCCACCCCTTTTCAAACCTGGTAGCGGAGCTGGCCTATGGTGGTCAGCTCTTGCCTTACTCCTCACCATCCACGGCAGTATCTGGTGGACTACAGACGTGGTGGAACATCAGGGTGCAGTGGGTTTGCGCGGAGGAATGTATATAACTACGCAGTATAGCAAGGACACTTGCAGTGACACCTCTGCCCACGCGGAGGCCTCTGACTTTCGTCTTACATCCCTGCGCTACTGCACTCCTGAAGTCCACCCACCTACTCCAATTGGAAACTTCTTCGAAGACATAGTGCATGGAAACATGCGATAAGACATTGTGCCGCCTCCACCCCCGCGCAGGCTTACGGCCACACATCGAAAACCCCAACGGACGACATCCGACCACGACCTGCGAGGCCGTTGGATTGGTATTATTATCTTTGGGCTCGTATGGGTCGCTATCGGGTGTGCGGTAGGACAAATGCGTGGCGGAGACGACCCAAGAACGACCAGCCCCCAGTGGGGCCCGGCCGGTCAAGTACCGTTCCGCGAATTCGTCCGCGAGGTACATGCCTGGATCAACGTGACCACGGGAAACATGACGCCCTTCCCAACAAGCTGCAGCCTTGCAGCGAGGTTTGGGAGGCCTCGCACGGACCATAGCCATGAGAGCTCCCCCAGCAGTTATCAAGTTTGGTGTTAACACAGGTGGCCGCCATACCGACGGCGACACCTACACCATGTTCCTCTTGAGCACGAAGTTCGATAATCTAGAAGAAGAACGCCAACTCAACTCTGGTATAGCTCTCATCGACTTCCGAGTCCATGCGGGAGAACGGATCGACCAGACGTTGGCGCGCTTCGAGATAGCCCGCTATGAAGCTGAAACGGCAGGCTTTAACATCCCCAGCTTTTGAATTTTAACAGTTATTTTATTCAGAGCCCTTGGAGTGGGGACATCGCGTGCACAGCAACTCCTGCAGCCACAAAAAACCACCACATGCCGAGAGACCACAACAGTTTGATTCATGTGCGCACATTGCTGAGAGAACCCCTGGCACTATTGGTGGTATTTTCAGTCACGGTCACCGAACCGAGACCTTCCACGTTGAGGCAATCGCAGGGCAACTTGCTAATAACGTTTGGAATGGCTGTCCACAACCAACCGAGACCACGACGCGACTGATTCAGAATGGTGGATCGACTTCGGGGTCGCAAGACTCTTGGGCCAGGTTTCGGGGGCCGCCCGACGCGGTACCCCCTGCGCAAGTCGCAATTCTAATCGGCTCAGCGGGGCAACCTGCCGAGTCCGACTTCGACTCCGGTGCTGGCGCCGACGCGTCTTCGGACGACGAGGCTACAGCCCTTGACTACTCCGATCTGCCTACGTACCTCGCGGAAAAAGCAACAGGTGCAATGGTTATTCTTAGGGTGCCAGAAACATAAGCGCAGATGGAGGCGATTTATGAAGATGCCAGTTCCTAAGGTACGGCGTATCGTCCGACGGGCTCTCAAGGGAAAGGCAAGGGTCGAGGTAAGGGTAAAGGTAAGCGTCGGCGATTGCATGGCAGAGGCATGCTAGAATTCCTAGCATCCCTTAACGGGCCGCAATATGAAGAGATATTCCTAGGTGCTGGCAGGAATCGCAGGCATACATCAGGAAAAGGTAAGGGGCGTCGGGGAAACCCGAAGGATGCCAACGGCAAAACTATGGAGCGCGACATATGCCATAGCACACAGCACTTTTGCCGCGAATGCCCTCAGGACGATGGGAGAGGCAGAGGTCCGTCGATGCATCTGGCTCAAGCTGACTCGGATATGCAGTGTGTTGATTTGGGTTTTTTAGCCGACCCTGCCGATAGCTCAGTTGCAGTTGTTAACTTCGTGGCTGCCAGATATTTGAGTGCCAGCATGTCCCTCGAATTATGCCGACGGGCTGTTCGAGGAGGTAGTCGCTGGTTGCAATGATATTGATTTGGCAGACTGGCTGGGCATGCCCATCGCGGGGCAATCTGCTGATGTTGAATTTGTCGAGAACTTCCGTTTGCCCGCCGAAGGAGATGGCGAAATGGCGTGGGCGCCCGCGGATTCAGAAGCCACTATTCCTGCAGCAGAGCAGGAAATGCAGCCGATGCTCTATCCTCGGGTTGTTGTCAACCCGACAAACATGGAATTGAGTGATGGCGATCCTTTGCGGGGGAACCCGCGAGATGTTTGCGACCTGTCTGAGCGCATTCAGTATGAGCTTGGCCACAACGAAGGATTTCAATGTGCATTTGTAGCTGCGGACCGCTCCATGGGCCGCCAGGGGCGATCGGCAAGCTGCCGGCCCTGGAGACGCAAGTCTCGCGCCGACGACGACGACGACGAAGAATGGGGGGATGGCGCTCGTCTGGTACGTCGCGGTCGGGTCCACGGTCGCTCGCCCGACCGCGCGCGCGCGCTCCAGCGGCGCCCGCTCTGGCGGCCTTCAGCGCCCTCATCCTCCTGATGCGGGGAAGCCAAAGGCCCCTCCATGGGAGGTCAATAGACCTGGCGCCCCTCCGAAGAGGGGGCGTCTGCGGGGGCGCCCGCCTCGAGGGGGGCGTTTTTATGAAGAGTATCCAGAAGACGAAATGCAGCGCCTGCTTGGCTACTCGGATGCTGGATTGGCTCGTCAGTGCAAAGACCCAGATACAGTGCAACATTGTTTGGGCAAGGGTTGGGCTGGGCACCGGATTCGTCGCTTGTATTCTCTCCGCAAGGTTGATCGAGATGAGGAAGGCAAGATCATTCGCTCAAGAAGGGCAGGGCCCGTCAAAACACGAGAACAACTTATAGGGCGCGACCTCAAGAGGGCCATCGTCGAGAAACGGGAACTTTACAGAGGCGTTGCTTGCGCGTGCCCCGAGTGTGCAGGGGGGGGGGGGGCCCCGCTCTCTCGCCTCTCCCTCCCCGGGCCCGCCGCCGCCTGGTGGCCGCCGGGGCGCCCCCCCCGCCCCCCCGCCGCCGCGAAGAAGGGCCGCGAGGGGGGGGGCGGGCGGCCTGGTGGAGCTCGTTCTGACGACCTCCCCGATGGCTGGGGCGTTCTCCCCCGCCGCGGGGAGGGCGACCTGGTGGAGCGAGTTCTGACCACCTCCCCGGCTTCTGGGGCGCTCCCCCCCCTCCCCCCCGCGGGGCTCGTTCCGATTCCTCCGATTCGATCCGATTCGAATTCGATTGCTTCCGATCCCGAGTCGGTTCGACCTCGGATTCCGATTTCGGGATCCGATTTCTCAATGGAGGCCCACTAGCCTGCCGATGTCTGCCGATCCGAGTTGTCCCGACTCGGCTGCCGATTTCCGCCGATCCGATTCATGTCGATTGCCGATCCGACTTGTCGATGAATTCTGGGCTCTCCTGCCCCCGCCGCGAGAGCTGTCACGGTGGGTCGTTCTGGAAGATTGAATTCTCGACCCCGTCCACGGGCTTCTTTCCTGCTCAGTGGGTGTAGGATCCCTTCGGGACACGTGCAACTCACAGGACGCATTGCGAAGTGTGCCGTGGGGTGCAACTGGAGAGTCAAATAAAGCGTTGGAGCAGCAGCAAAAGTGGAATCTGATGAGGGCTGTGCTTTGGACTAGAACCTGAGGCGGCGCGCTACGGCAGAACTTTTGGTTTTGACGACCACAACGCCCGACCTTCGTTGTGACCTGATGTGGCCGCCATGGGTCTCCCAAGAATGTTTGGGAGACGCTTCGTGAGTGCATGTGCCACTTGAGTTCAAAAGGATTACCCAGGATGACACCCGGGCGCCCTCCTCCCACGTCTAACCATAACGACGTGCTTCGAGTTTCCCCCAAAGGGCGCGTTGACGTATGGAGTGCGCGTCAGTGAGAGTGTTAGGCCACACTTCTTGAAACACGTTCCTGGTCTGCGCTGGAACCTAAATGCGCGCGAAG